TATTTTAATTACAGCTGTTTTTCGTATGTCACATGATACCAAATAATTCAGTAAAATATATGCAACCCCTCCTCCATCACTCAAAAATTCTTACATCCCTCCTAAAATATTTGGTGAGAAATGTCTCCCCCCCCCCCGTACCACCACATTTCATACCGGCCCCCTGTATTAATAATGAACGATCCTTTAGTCTATAAAATATAAATGACCAATGTTTGACACGCTACGAAACATTTGTCGCGACTTGAGTCGCTTTTTCGTCCAAATTAACCCACTTTTCATAATATTTTAAGATTTTAGCAGTTGTATTAACTTGTATGAGGTGCTAAATGACACAATTCGCCAGATTTACCTGTAAAATGTCTAAAACATTGCCGCGCAGAAAGCGTTATGCTAGATTCTTCATCCATATTTATGATTTGAGTTGTTTATGAGCCCGCGTTTCATAGAATACTTCAAGTAATTATGCCAAAAGATCAAATTTACCGCGGAATTCAAGATGGCGCTTAGCGGATGAAAATATCAAACTTTGGCCTTACATTGTGAAAAAACAGCGCGTTTCTGCGCGTGGGAACAAAGATATTTAAAATCAGCATAGTTTTTTCTCCTAATTCCCGTTAAAATATTTTAGCACCGCGATGGGGGCGACGGAACTGAACGTTTTCATGCCACAGCTAACGGCCTAAATCAATCGGGAAACTCGAGTATATCAGGATATGTCCAAATGTTGCTCTCGATACTTCCTATATGCCATGACTTCGACGAAAAGTTCTAAAAGATTAATTAAGCTCTCATTGTCATGTAGAAAGGTATAGCCAAGTTAGAGTATAAACGTTTCGAAGTTTGGGCGAATTGGAAAATTCATCACGACGCAATTTTACATTTAATACAAGTTTCTCGGGTAAGTGCAATAATCTAAGTCATTCAAGTTCACCTTATCACAACCCGCACACCCGATTACCTATATATACATGAACTTACGGTTACAGCTCAACAGCTGGCCTCTGTAGCTCAGTTGGTTAGAGCGCTGCACTGGAATCGCAGGGCCGTAGGTTCAATTCCTACCAGAGGACCTTGTGCTGCATTTTTCGCAGTCGTTCCTGGTTAGGTCTTAAAATGTATATATTCTCACTTGGATTACAAACCCTAACATCCTAATATTAATTCCACCAAGTGAAGTGCAATAATCTAAGTCATTCGTGTTGTGTTTACAGTTTACATTCCGAAGTGGTTGCTCAAACAGCAAATTAGTTTACTTTGAAGCTAATATTTTGCTTTCTAAGCCACAGTATAAAATAAAATTTTCTGTCTTCCGAGTTCTGTTGTCTTATAAAGATAAACATCCGTCAAAAGTTCAAATTTCAGCGAAATATATTCCGGCATTTGATGCAGTCTGGCCTAGATTCATACAGTATATTAAATATGCCAATCCTGTCCGCGTTTTAAATATAACCGAACATCTTTAATATTCAAATCTGATCATTAATGGTGCTTTTTTTACCTGGACAAGTACCAGTATCTAGTTAAATTCAATTTATGTGCAATTTTGACCAAAATTCAACGGACGACTGCTTTCAAAATATATATTTATATTTATTCCGCTCCTCAATCAACTGACGTCACTTTCCAGAATTTGGAAGGTAAATTCTGATTGGTCGACGTAGCGGAATTCAGTTTAGCGCTGGGGTAAGCAGACGGTAGTTCTTCGTCGCTTGGCGTAAGAACAACAACGTCTGTGAGCAGGCTAAAAGTAGATACGCACAGAAAGAACTACTCTCTGTGCTATTTGCTCTTGAAAGATTCAACGCGTACACCTATGGCGTGAAGGTCCTTGTTGAAAATGATCATAAGCCACTTGAGATCATTTTAAAGAAATCCTTAGATGATGCTCCTCTCAGACTCAGATTGCAAAGGATGTTGTTAAGATTACAGAAATATGACTTCACCTATAAACATAAACCGGGCAAGGATCTTGTGGTAGCGGACACTCTATCACGGGCACCACATCTCACTACAGATCCAGAGTTAGAGAAAGAAATATATTGCTATGTTCACATGGCGATGATCAATCTTCCTGCAACAGATGACATGATGGCAAGATTCAGAATGGTCACAGAAGAAGACGAATAACTACAGCAGCTGAAGAAGACCGTTTTGAACGGGTGGCCAGATACGAAACGAGAAACACCAGTCACAATTAGGGAGTATTAGCATTGTAGAGAGGTGAATCCTTTTGAAGAATGAAAGGATCATCATCCCAAGTTCCCTTCAACCAGAAAATTTTGGAAAAGATTCATGCTGGACACATGCGTACCGAAAAATGCAAGAAACGTGTACGGGATGTTCTGTATTGGCCAGGGATGAATTCGCAGATAGAAGAAATGGTCTAGAAATGTCCTACCTGTCTAGAATATCGACCATCAAACCAGAGCCCATGATTGTTCAACCATCTCCCACGATTCCATGGGATACTGTCGCCCCTGAACAATTCAAACTGTCTATTAGTTGTGGACTACTTCTCACGTTGTTTTGAGATTGCGAAGTTGCCAGATATTAAGAGCAGCACAGTGGTTACTTACATGAAATCTATATTCGCCAGACAGGGGATCCCAAGAGAAAGTAAAGAGTGATAATGGTCCGCAGTATACATCACAAGAGTTTGGTACGTTTTCGCATGAGTAGAATTTTCAACACAAGACGACCAGTCCATACCATCCACAAGCTAATGGTCTAGCTAAAAGATCGGTGCAGACTGTCAAAAACTTATTAAACAAAACAAACAGAGATGGAAAAGATCCTTACGTTAGTATTTTAGAATATCGAAATACACCCATTGATCAGATTGGTTCATCAGCGCAATTACTGATGAGCAGAAGATTAAGATCTGTCGTCCCCACAACGAAGTCTCTGCTACAACCTAAAGTCATTAAAGAACCAAAGAACTTCCTACAATATCACGAGGCGAGCAAGTTCGCATAAAGCAAGGAAAAATATGGAGTCAGCTGTGGTAACTAGAAAAACACACACCCGAAGGTCATATATCGTGCAAAGTCCAGATGGAAGCACTTACAGAAGAAACAGGAAACACATTCTCAAGACAAAAGAAGGAAATTCCCAGTCATTTGGAATAGAAGATTGTGATGATCCAATTAGTCAAAGCAATGGAGAGGATGCAGTTGGCACAGAACAAGCAAGTGATGGTGATAATGCAGTATCTGTAGAAGAAACATCAGAGGAACAATTACCGGTAACACTTAGTAAACAATTTAGTGCATCTCCAGTAAAGACTAGAAGTGGAAGAATAATTAGAAAACCAAATAGGTTTAAGGACTATTAGTTATGAACATTAGACAACAGTTATTTGACAATTAATTAAACTTTAAATGAATTAGATAATTTTTGAACAATAGTGACTTTGGTCGGAGCTGGTCACATGTCCCGCGGATTTCGCGGCGTAAAAATTGAAATATGCCTTTAATTAAGGTCGAGACACACCGGACGCGATTCGACAACGCGCGCAATTTTTTTATTTTCACTGACCGTTAACTGTGATCTGGTTTAAGTTTTTCAAATATTTAGAAACGCTATAACATTTTGAGTTATTTGGTCTGCATATCTTTTAACATTTCTTTTCATTGGCTGCTATATTAACTTCAAAAACTGAAAGTCTTGTCTTTTTAAGATTAGCAAGTATTACATGATTATATGACTCTCAAAGATGTTTGTACAGAACAGTCACTACTTGCAATCGAAGTGTAAAGTGTGGAAGTGGAAGCATGTAATATGGGACTTTTCCTTCCTCCTTTTTAGCTATCAATTTTCTATGGGTCATGTGACCAGCTCCGACCAGGGTTTTTCCTCCACAAGAGGGAAAAACCTGGGAACGAGCTTGCTTTTATACCTGCAAAGCATCAGTTTTGTTAAACTGGACAAATGCCTTCAATCGAATGTCAGGTTTTTCAGATTGTTCAATAGCTTCTAAAGCATTCTCAACCACTTGTAACGGTGTAGTTTTATTTCCATTTCTAGAAAACGAACAAGTAGTGAACGAACTCATCAGTGTTCAGTGGTGAACTTAACTAATTTTACCATTTGCGATTAGGGGAAGTTACATGAAAATTAGTTTCCGGGAAGAATATTTTCATTTGGTATCAAGTCTAGTATTGCACCCTCACATTAATATTTGAAGCAAATGATTGCAGTAAGGATTGACTAATCCACAACCTAATCCTATGTTTTCCTTAACAAATTCAATTGAAGACTTAAACATGACTCGAAACATGTTGTTTACAACTAATTTATTAATAAAGAATCAAGAACTGAATGTGTAACATAAACAAATACACAATTTTGTGTAGCGATTAATTTCTGGCAAAAAACTTGCCCGTGATCACTTTTACTTGCCCGGGACAAGCGCTAAGTTACATATCACTGAGTGTTACTTTAAATGAATTGGCCAAGGTCAACGATATGCGATATGTGCAATATAGAGTCTTTATTATACGGCAAGCATTTGTTTTGATGAATCGCGCAATTTGATTGGCTGCTGACGAGGCACGAGTTTCAAACGGCAAAAAGTGTCTAAAAGTCTTTCAAAACTATTCAAAACGAAGAAAAATAAACCTAAACTAAAGAAAAGGAGCACCTTCTTTGGATAAAGAACTTTCTCAATATGTTTTTGTTAGCGAAAGTCGAAATTACAAGGTAAATTTTACAATGTTTATAACTATTAAAGAAGTCAGGAATAGCTGTGTTTTGACTTTGTGAAGAGCTGCAAATCTTATTTGCAGATAGCCGAGGAATTTGACACCATCCTAAATAAAAAATACAACTAAAGCAGCCACAGATTTATATTTTTCCCTGAAAATTTCTGGGTTTTTTCGATAAAAAGAGATATATTTATGAGATGAAGCGAACTAAAAACGTACTTGTCCATACTGTTTATTAATTTTATTGTTTTCATATTTGTTGTCTTTGTCTTTGATTAAATGACGAAATACCTCGTATTTTTCTTGAAATACTATCCAACTGTGTTAGTATTCTATATAAAAATTGCTGTAGAGTAGTTTTACTAACCAAGCTTGAGAACATTTTTTACAATTGTTCTTTTTTGCAAATGTTTCGGACTTTGTACTTTGCCCTCGCGTGACCTTTTTTACCCATTTTTTACAAACGTACAATGCCATATAATAAAAAACTTACTGACCTCAACCGTTCGGGCAGTACGGGAAAATATCCAACCTCGAGCAAGACCTCGGTTGAATATTTTCCCGTACTGCCCTCACTCTCGGGCAGTAAGTTATTAATATATGTATACTATAAAGTATTGTTTGGTTCTAAACTGTTCTCCGTAGAAGTCCAGCAAAGCTCTTGCTGGTCAAACGAGAATGCATGGGAGTTGATGAAATTGAGAAGCGTCAGTTTGGATGAGAGTTTCCTTAACTCTAGTGTCCAGGTCAAACGCGAACACGAGTTGCACCAGAATTGACGAAACTTCACTGGATATTACTGCGTGTGTAGCGAAACTCTCATCAACTCTCATTAAAATTTGAACCAGCTCAAAGTTGATGGGAGGTGGAAAACTCTCATCATCAGGGATTAAGTATCGTCAGTATTATTTGGTCCAGTGTTACTACAAAAGGAAACCTAAACCTTACACTAAAGTAACTTAATTTGTTTATACTGGCTATCTCTATCCGTTGCCCGCCCCCCTCATTTAAAAAATGTCCCTGAAGCTTAATTATTCCCCCCTGGAAAAAATGGACAAACAGACACAAGTTCGAAATCTCGACAATACATAGTTCGTACGAAAAACTGGGTCGAAAGTACTCTGGAGAAACCCTAGCATATCAAGAATAAAGAGGAGGCTTTTTGTAGATGTTACGTAACATGAGCACAAAACCAGCGAGTACAATGCCACTTGGGTATAATTGCATTTCAAAATTTTTAATCATACGTTTCTCAATCGGCAAAAAGAAACTTAACTAGGAATCCAAGGATAGTGCAGAGTTTCAAACACGAACGCTATAAGATATGCTTATTAATCGAATAGCTTTTCAGGCGTGGTTTATAGCTTTAATCACATGTCGATATGATGTAGTAGCGCGCGAACTGTTACTTACAACAGTAAAAACGCTAAGATCTGGTTTAAATCTAATACTTTACGATTAAAGAATGACGAGAGTTATGTAATATTATTTATTTCCCAAGATAATATTAGTGACATGGCATAATTTCTGTTATAATGTTGTAAAATTTCAAATTGAAAACGACACTATATAGGGTCGCCGACAACCTAGATGACTTATTTAAATCTATGATTATTCCCATCATCCTTTTAGCGCCCATATTGTACACTTTGACTATTGTCTAAGTGACAACTTTAATTGAAATAGCTGTATAAGATATGCTATGAACCAGGAGTTACTATCGCAAGGAAAGTGCTGCCTTTTTTGCCACATGAACTGCATGCAAAACCTCTCTAAAGGGAAGTTTACTTTTGACCCAATGAACTTATTCTTAAATTGCGTGCACGGAATTACATGAGTAAATAACCAACATGAAAAAGTTGCCATTGGGTCAAAAGTGGATAAACGGCATACCCATTAGCTGACAATGCACCCCACTTTAGTATTAACTCTGTCTAACGTCAGACAAATTTACACTCTGTAACGCCAGACGATTTTACTTGTCAGTTGTAGAGTACTGTCAGTATCTGCTAATGTCTCTTATTAACCGCCATTGGCTGGCAATGCGCCATACTTTAGTATTTACTGCCTATCCACTACATGTAGGAAGCAATTTTGTATTGGGGGAGCTGTTAGTCAGGGGCGATTATTAGGCATCTATATCCCTCTCAAACTTCACAGATTATCGCTAGTTTACAATTTTATTTTTTTTTTTGGGGGGGGGCTGAAGACCACAGACCCCCGGTTGCTACGGCCCTGCTATCAACGCCAGACAATTTTACTCGTCAGTGCCAGTAAACGGCTTAATTTCTCATCACCCCAATTTAATTTTTTTATTATTATTATTTATTATTATTATTATTATTTATATATATTATTATTACTATCCGGTATATAAATAACACTCTTCCGACTCGCAAAAACCTTCAGAAATGGGGAATATCACCAACATCCGAATGTTCGTTCTGTTTGAATCCCGAATCACTTCTCCACGTCGTCGCTGGATGCAAGACCTACCTAAAAGAAGGACGTTTCACGTGGCGTCATGATTCGGTGCTTATTTTCATAGCATCCATACTAAAATCTGTGAATTATTCTAACCTTTATGCTGACCTTCCTGGCTATATCAGTCCATCTGTTCTCACCGGAGATGAATTACTCCCTGATCTTTTGATAACACTTGAAAACAAATGTATTTATATACTTGAACTTACGGTCGGATTTGAATCTAATCTCCTGACTAATGCAACTCGAAAAAGACAAAAATATCAAGATCTAATTAATGAACAGCTCAAAAATTATGAAAAAGTAAAATTTGTAAATTTATCGATTAGTTCATTAGGAGTTTTCAGTCATTCGTCGCGAGATTTCACCGAAATGCTAAAAGATCTAAAGTTTGATGAACAATGTAGCTTTAAAGCACTATGTTCGGAAAATTATTAACATATATGTATCAGGTCCTCGTATTATATATTCTGTAAGCGTAACAATGGGATAACCCACAACTAATGTCATACTAATATTGTTATTATGTAGCCGTGTTAATTCAAGTAGACACTGGTAAACTACCTGTAAAGAGAGGTTTATCATTGTAGTATGTATATATATTATTGAAAATAATAAAGTTCCCATTATTATTATTATTATTATTCGAAATAGATCTTAAACCTCTTCACCCAAAAAACAAAATTTTACTTTACAGTCGTTATGTTTTGTCAAAGCTATCCTGGCATTTTACTGTTGCTACGATATCTAAAACTTGGGTAGTCGAAAATATCGATTCTTCGGTGAACAAGTACATCCAAAAATGGCTGGAAGTACCTATATCTGGAACACTAAGTAACGTTTTTCTAACCCGTAATAAGTTTGGTCTAAATATCCTCCCTGCATCAGTCAAATTCATTCAGTGTCAAACAGTTCTACGCAATGCCCTGAAAACATCTCCCAACGATTCAATAAACGAACTGTGGAAGTCAACTAATAATCATACTAACATTCAATACGATAGCTACAACTCAACTAAAGAAGTTTTAAAAACTTTCCATTCTCAACAAGAAAATAAACTTAGGAACCGTTTGAAATGTCAAGGTTCCTTTTTCGAAAATGTTTCTAAATTCTCGCTATCACAACTTAACGCAATCTGGTCGGTATCGCAATCAAAGCTACCAAAGAACATTTTCAACTTTACAATTCGCTATATAAATAATACCCTTCCTACACGAAAGAACCTCAGTAGATGGGGAATTTCATCAAGTTCTGACTGCTCGTTCTGCTTACACCCTGAATCACTTCTACACGTTGTTGCCGGTTGTCAACATTACCTGGAACAATTTACTTGGAGACACGATTGCATACTAAACTTTCTTGCAAAAACTTTTCAAAGTTTAAACGAATGCAAATTACATGTTGATCTTCCTGGATTTGAAAGCCCCTCGATTATTACGGAAGATGAATATCGTCCTGATTTACTTGTCTCCACTTCAGACAAACATCTCTACGTCGTTGAACTTACCGTAGGCTTTGAATCAAACCTCACAAACAATGTTAACCGCAAGAAAGCTAAATATAAAAACCTAATTAGAGAACTGGATCAAAACTTTACATCTGTCAAATTTATAAATCTTTCTGTCAATTCGCTAGGAGTGTTTGACAAGGAATGTCATACATTCGTAAAAATGCTAAATGAGTTAGGACTGGATAATCAACACCAACAATATTGTATCAGAAAAATTATATCTATTGCCATCCGATCAACGTACTACATATTTTGCTGTAGAAATAAAGAATGGACAAATCCCGAACTAATGAACATTTAAAGTAACTATTTCTGTAAATAAGTAGTAATTTTTGTATATAAAATTATAACCATGCACGTATAAGTGATTCAAGTAGTCAATTGTAGGTTACCTCAAGAAGTGAGATTTACAATTGTATATATCTATAAATGTTCTATTAATAAAGTTTTCATTATTATTATTATTATTATTATTATTATTAATGTTAAACACTCCCAAAAAGGTTTTTCAGTGTTCAATACAAAAGTCATAAGAAGTAATTACTTAAATTATATTCTAAAAACTATGTAATATACTTTTACTCTAAAATTTAAATATATAATATGAAGCTATTTATAATAATCTGGGGTAAAATACTTATTGTTAATACTATTTAATTTAAAATTTAATAAGTGTAATTCAGTTCTGCTCATCGAAAAATTGTTCAACCAAGTAACTTCGCAGCTCATTTTTAAAACGTTCCAAATTGAAATTATGGCCTTTTAACCATTCTGGCAAACTGTTCCATAAACAAGAAGCTCGGTAGCGAAAAGAACGTTGTCCGCTCGCTGTCCTATATAAAGGTATTTCCAATAATCCGTTAGATCTTGTGTTCAAATTATGTAATTGTGATCTTGTTTGAAGCGTACGACATAAATATGATAG